GGCATGCCACTAACATGCCATTATTGGTATGCTTTTGCCACTATGCCAGATATCTTAGTCTTATTCAAGAAATAGGCCCAAGTCTTAATCATGGGTAGGGTTGTTAATGTAATGGAGTACTCCAGACTTTAATAAAACATAACCCATTTCTGGAGTGCTCCGGAGTGGATTACATGTTTTATTATTAACTGGAGCACCCCATTAACAACCCTAATCATGGGAGTATTTTTTTATGGGGATACTATAAGCAGTGCTATACGGTAACTAATTGATTAATTGCAATTAATTAATTTTCTTAATCAGTTAGTAATTAATTATTTAATCGATTATTGCGGTTTACAAACTTTGTGAAAATTGCCGCTTGATTGTTTGATTGTTGGGTGATTTCTGAGTTTTAAAAAGTACTCCGATATCTGAATATGAAATTATCATATCGGAGTAATTTTAAGCGACGGAAAGTGAAAACCTGTAAATCATGCTTTTTGAATATTTACTTTTAATATAAAATATCTTAAATTAATTGAATACTTAAGATTTCAATGTCATTCAAATCATCTTAAAAAGGTGATTCAAATGATATTAAAATAATAAATAATTGTTAAGTTACTCAACTAAAAAATATTTTTATTAAAAATATTCAAAAAGCATGATTTACAGCTTTCCCTTATGTCACTCAAATCATCTAACAATCGAATGATTTCGGTTGTCTTTTTTTTTTATAATGTTTTGCAAATTTCATAAAATTTTGCAAACCACAGTAATCGATTAATTGGTATCCAAAAAGGTCAATGGATTGGTTGTCAACTAATCGATTTTTCAACTTTTGATTTGTAACACTAAATATAATATAGATTATAGTTATTCACCTCACTGTCGTTTTTAATTGGTTTATTTCTTTCTCTTTGGTTTCCAACATCATTTCCATTTTATTCCACTGTGCTACAAGAATTTCCATATGGCGCTTTTGCTCTTGAAATTTACGAGTATCAGCCTCCCTAATGATAAAATGTAATTATTTAACATATATTTGTCGAGATGTACTGAAGGTCTGATATAGAAAAAAAAATACCAAAGAAGTAACTGTTTCGTTAATTGATCAATACGATTTTCATATTCGCTTAATTTTTGGAGTTGAGGTTCAGATACTTTAATATGGTTCTCAAGATTAAAATTCCTTAATAATAAATAAATAATAAATAATTTAATGCATATGTTTAAACAGCACCAAATGAATAAATAGATATCAGACATACGTTGCGTTTGCATTTTCGATCTGCTTCTCTTGTGCTTTAATAGTAAGCTAGATCCGTATTTATAATAGAATTATATTATTATTAATTATACTTCGTTAAAGTAATAATTACTAAGAAATCAAATTCAGTATTAAAATCCAACCTTGGCTTCCCTCAATTGCTCTTCAACTTTGTCCAATTCTGTCTTCCATTCTTTCTTTTCCTCTCTATATTTTTTCAACTTAGCGTTTAATTCATCTTCCCATTGAACATGCTTTTTCTTTATGCTTGCATTCTCATCTCTCTGTCTATTAAAAGCTGATTGGGTTTTCTCTAATTGCAGTTTTAAGTTTTTACATGCGTTGTATAGATTTTGACGCTCAGCTTCAGCGCTAATATCCAACACATGATCACGATGAAGACGGCCAATGTGTTGGAGGTGCTGTTGTTTAAGATAGAGTTCAAAATTTAATTCATTCCTAAGTAACATTATTTCACGTTGGAGAAATGCGACACTGGCTTGTACGTTCGACGAGGGTATAAAAGATTGTGTCACAGGTAAATTTTGGTCAGATGGTGATGTAGAACTGATAGAATTTGACGAAATTATCTTTGAATCCTAAAAATGAATAAATAAACTAATGAATATCAAAGCTAATAATAAAGTATATAAATAGAAAAAATTAACCTACCCAGGGGTCGTCTCCAACAACAATTTCAACACCACTTTTCAATGCCTGATGAACATCCATTATTTCTTGTATGGATATTGCCTGCGATGGCCGTCTAGTTTTCGTTTCAGCATTTGTAGAATCAACTCCCTCCAAAGCCTTTTTTGTAAAGTCTTCTAACTCACTGATCTGATGCTTTGTTGATGCGTTTTCCATATCATACCCAATACATTCTGCAACAACATCAGCAGGTTCAAGTTTAATCCAACGTGAAGTGTCTGATAGTTCTTTTTGTGCATCGCTCAAAATGAGGTTTGGATGAAGTGTATGACGACGTAGTAATGGCTATTAGCATTGAAAAGGAACAAACAAAAATACAATATAATTCTTTTTAATCAATCAAATAAATAATAAACTATTCAATATGAAGATATGATATGAATCGCACCATACTTCTCGATCTAACAACATCATCATCAATATTTCCATAAGGTGTATAGCTCATGTTCTTTATCCAAGCTGTTGGATTCCTTAAAAATTCAACGGTATTACATGGAAACATTCCGTATAAAATTGTAAAAAGGTGTGAACAATTTGGTGGTGTTGAAGGTATGCTATCGAAAGTAAATTCTAAAAAAAAAGAAAAAAAAAGTTCAACGGACGTACTAAATAAAAGAGTATTTCCGACCTATACCGAACAAAAGCAATCTATCCTGCATCAACAACAACAAGAAACTTGCCACATCTTTCCCAGTCAGACTCAGCATCAGTTTTTTGTACATCACACCCTTCGGTAATATTTAAATCATTTCCAATCAATTCGCCATCAAAATTTGTACATCGAGAGTCATGTTTATCCCAACATAAAATCCTGATAAAGACGATGTAAAGGCGTGGAAGATAAGTGACAACAGATGTACATATATGAGGCAAGAGCATAACAAGCGTCGTCAATGATAAAGAAATCAAAGTTGTAGATGTATCCCTCTGGTATTTTAAAATAATTTTGGTTGAAAGTGATAACCGTGTTAAAAATAATGACCTATTAAACAGTGATGATTAAATACCTGCAACGATATAAGTAATGAATCAAAAAGTGGTGTCTCCAGAATCTGATGAATGTTTAATCTCTATATATTTAAACGTAATTTTTTTTTTCATTAAAAAAGTTTCTAAAATACATATCCAAGCGAAATTAAAAGAAATTAAAGATGTTATTCTGAAAAATGCTATAAGAATAATGACCATCCAACCTGTCGTTGAATAAATTCTCCAAGTAAATTTAATATTTGTAACCGATATTGTTTCTGAGCAAAATATGAATCCAAAAGTATAAAGAAATCCTGAATCATAAAAGTTTTTATTATTAAAAAATCGGGTTTTTTTAAATATCAACATTTCATTGTTGCATTTGAACACATTCGCTACCTTCGTCTTCACGCTACCAAATCCCCTAAGTACATTTTCCAAATTACGGCACCAGAATGCATGAACTTGTTCACCTACAACTCCATGACCTTCACCAGCAGCCTTTCCAATCATACTTGATTCGTTTAAATAAAGTTCAAGGATTTCCTTCCTAAATATCATCACTCGATCCGTTTCACATACTAGAACTTCACGAATTATTGCTTTGACTTCTTCAACAATATCCTTTGGCTGAAGTGAAGACTTAAGAACCGGAAGTAATATCCTATCACACCAATCGGAAATAACTACATCAGGTCCCAAGATAGGCAATAAAGCTCGCAAACATTTTAAAAATATGTGAAACTTTTGTGGATAATCTTGAATAGAATTATATATGGAAAGTAATTCTGAGGAAAATTTGTTAATTTTATCAAGTCTCTCACGATCCGTATGGAATTCCTGTGTCGTTATAAAATTATCAATAAGATCAATAGTAGGTTGAACATCAGCACTCGAAGAATTAATGGTAGAAATAATGTTGTGTGATATGTCTTTTAGGCTCGTCATATTGACTTAATATCTGGCAATTTTGTTAATTTTGAGGGCCTTGCCTCCCCTTTTATAAATAAAGACTTATTTTTTTTTTGCGACTGAAAGTAGTTATTTGGGGATTCATTAAAGGCTAATTTTCGCGTATTTTTTGGCGTTTCTTTTATAACCTATTTGTGTCACATGCTTATCAGTAAATCTAGTAAATCCGACAAATGCGCAACGTAGTTGCGTCGGAAAGTTTTTTCAACATCGTTAAGAAATTTTAACGTTAAAGCCTCAAAAATGGTGAGCTTTCGCATTAATAATTCCATATAAAAGCAAATTCATTTTTAAAGCTGACCAAAAGTTCACCCAATTACTCTCTTAAAAGAAATGTGCCAATGTTTTGAAATTGGTTCTTACAAGCTTTGGAACGCTCTGCCAAAGTATATAACTTAAATTCCTTCAAATAAATGTTATTTTCTAAAATAGCTATTATTTACACTTTTCTGATGGAAAGGTTTTCCAATAAACCAAGATAAGCAATTATATAAAAATGCTTTTGAAGGAGGTGCGTGCACGAGTTTTTAGCTCTGGCCTGAGTTGACCTTTTCACGCTCAAAAATTAAACCTTTATTCATTGACAGGTACCCAAACAGGTGGAAATAATGGATCTTGGTCATCATGGGTTTTGGTAATACATTATCCAATTCATACATAATTTGCGAAAAATTTTCGAAAAAACTTAATATTTTTGCGTGTATAAATAGATAATTTCAATAGGCATAATTTCCGTGATAGTGTTTACTATCTACCGGCGTTCCAAAAAATCAATACCAAAGAACAACAATTATTTTGCACTTGAACCTCGTAATACATCGGCAGACGAAGATTCTATATTACACCGAGGTTTACTTGCCGAAGAAGAGGAAGACACAGCTCCTTTAGATGATAACGTATTAAGAAGTAATACCACGAGATATAAAGATGACGACGAAAATTTAAATAGGAATGTTGAAGTCTTGGATACTAATGACAATGACAATCAGAGTGTAACTAGTTTTGTTGATACACCTGTGACATTCCCTGAGGAACAACAGCAACAGCAGCGACAAAATATTTTTAGTATTATGGATGAAGAAGAGGATGAAGAAGAGAATGCATAGTGTATAAGATTACAACGTATACTTACCGGATAAATGTTGTGTAATTCGTAGAGTTTATAACTTTTTCTCTGGTGGGATACTGTAACAATAACTTTCCAGTGTTTGTAAATTACGGACAACTAACCACTTTCATTTTAAATCCCTCAAAGTTTGTAATTATTAAATTTTCAATTAATTAAGGCGATCTCCGATATTTCGCGTCATGTGAATCTACTTTATTAAAAGCAAGTTTAAGAAAATCTATCTGCCAGATTCGGGTTAATTCATTCATTTCTGTCAAACTTATTAATTGACTATAATGTATTAGACGCTAGATACTTTATTCAACATGAGAGTAACCTAATATGGTGCTGTTTAACTATAATACGTAATAGGGATCGATGTTTATTGTTTAATATTCTGAGTATATTTTCATCTTTAAATTCTCATATTTCCCCGCCATGTCATCACACGAGATGACAATTTACTAACAGTACTTTGGGGTGTTTGGTAGAGCAATCGGAAAATGTGTACCAGGTTGGTGACGTAGTTCTTCCGATCTACGAATCAACTTTCAAGATTAGGTGTAACGTAACACAATCAAGAAGATTCATCACAAACTCAAAACCTACTACTATATCTTTTATTGACTCTACTCTAAACTCAATACCAATTAATAAACCTTTTAAATATCTTGGTTGTTGGTTTACACTAAACAACAAACAATTAGAACAAATTAAACATATTCAAAAAGAAATATACTAATTAACTTACATAGCAAATACAAAGAAAATTACTGACAAACAAATTGCATATATTATAGATACTGTTATTATACCAACACTTGAATATAGAATACATAATGTAGTACTATCCTATACTACATGCAACAACATTCTAGCAAAATATCTTACTGTTGCTAAACACAAATTACATCTTACTAGATCAATCTTTAATAGTACTATCAATAACAACATTGTTGTTTTTAATACTTAAGCGTGATTCTTTATTATGGTCAAAAAAATTCTGACCAAATTTTTAACAGAGGTTTCGCATTAGCAGGACTTCTGTTAAAATTAAAATTTTGGCAGAATTTTTTTGACTAAATTTTTTTTTAACAGGATATGTATAAGTACTCTATTTATTAATTAATGTTAATATTAACTTTAAAGTTAACATTAAAGTTAACATTAAAGTTACTATTAAAATTAATGCTAACGTTAACATTAATGTTAACATATTAATGTTAACATTAAAGTTAAAATTAAAATTAAGGTTAACATTAAAGTTAACATTAAATTAATGTTAATGTTAACATTAATTTAATGCTAACTTTAATGTTAACGTTAACATTAATTTTAATGTTAACTTTTAATATTAATGTTAACATTAAAATTAATTTAACATTAACATTAATTTAATGTTAATGTTAACATTTATCGGCAAATAAAATAAAGTTTATACCTTTTTATTTAATAAAGTTCATCGGAAAGACTAAAATAGTTTATTTATTTATAGCTTGTAGAACAGATAGATAATGC